ACTTCTTCACCAAACTTCCGTATGGCTCCCACGGTTGCGGCTGCTTCCAATGCTGCTGCTGCTGGTCCGTCTTTTTTGAAGGATTTTAGAGGATACGGACCAGCAGCATTGGAAGCAGCCGCAGTAGCCAACGCTGAAAATCTCGATCCGGTCACGACAAGCGCAAGCGGTGCTTGAGTTTTAATCGGAAAGTCAACAACCAAACAAAAACTATACCATCCGACCATTCGAACTGCTCGAATACATCCATGGCAGTGGTTGCTACACCAACCATTCCATCGTCCAACATATAATGTTGCAGGATCGTCTTGGGAAAATCTCAAATAGTTCAACAAATTATTTTTACTCTCCTGCCTTTTTGCACACAATAAGAAATTATAATTATGAATAATAACATCAACTATACAGTAAAAAGGAAAATCCTTTCCTTTCTCCGAAAAAGAAGCTTCCGCTCTTTCCAAGCTTACGTGTTTTGGATGTTCACGTTGCTCCACGCACCGTTCATCGTCTTGGAGGAGGAGAAGCACAGATTCATAATGAACGGGAATTTTGTACATTTGTGATCGATCGCGCTGTAGTTGCACTTCATGATGGCGTTCACCGCCAGGGCTACGTTCGGGAACTCGACCAATCAGAAACTTTCCGATTTCAGCGAGAACATTTGCACTTGCGACGGGTGGCAGTCCTTGGTGGTGAATGCAGTCATCAGCAGTTCCTCGGACGGCATACGGGTTGGGTATTGAAGAAGTGGATAAATCGATTTTTGCTGGCCTGGGTCAACGAAAGGAAGCGATTGTTCTTGGAGCCGCTGTAGTCCTTGCAGCTTATCGAATTGTCCGGCAGGGTGTAGGGGTTGGTGGACTTTGACAAGTAGTTCTGCTTGGAAAATGCAATCTGAATTTTGCTACCACCATTTCCAATCATTCAATGATGTTCAAGTGCTGGATGCTGCGTTCGACTGGTTCGACTGCGATGGCGTCTCCCATCTGGACCATGGCGGTACCCTCTTTGGTCTTCAAGAACTTTATCCTGACAACATTTCTGTACAGGCAGAACAGATTGAACAGCTTATCGGTGTTGGCTGTGTTGTTATCGAGTCCGTAGACCATTACAGGGTGACCAGCAAACAGGGAAAACCGGGAATACCGGGAAATATCCGGGAATTTGAAAAGTAACCGGGAAAAACCCGGGAATTCGGTGAGAGAACTGGGAAAAATAAATTAACCATACCATAGGAACAAATTTTTACACCAGAATTTCAGAATAAACCATTAAAACAGAGTAATCCTTTACCAAATGAATTTCTTGCTCTATTTGCTGCATAATTTTCTTCAGTTTCCCGTCTTTTTAGAATTTAATCACTCAGCAATATTGCAAATTGATTTTTGTCGTTTCAATTTCAGATGTAAAGTGCTTGGTCCTTAAAAGAAAATATTGAAGATGCTGGATTTTGGAAACAAAAATTTGTAAAAACCGAAACTGAATTATTCTTTTGCAGGGTTTTAATTTTTCGTTGTTCTAAATTCTCAGGATATGAATTCCAGAATTAACTTGGAACTCTGCCCTGAATTATCTTGAAATTGTTCTGAAATAAGCCAGAAAACACCCCGCGTAATAATAACCAGTGAATTCTTTTTAGAATTTCCTTGCAACCCCTTCTAATAATTTAATTGGAATCCTTCTTAAAATACGCCCTTTTAATAGAAACTAAACGATCGATTCAACCTCTGGTGGTAAATAGGAGAACGTCAAAAAGAGTGTTGTGAACAGAAATGTTTGTCGTGTTTTACTTTTCCTGATAAATTGATTCATCTGAGGTGCTCCAAAACTTGAATTACAGTTGAAAAATTTAATTCTGTATCGTTTTTGCAAGGATCCTGCAAAGTTTCCAGGAATATTTTTGGTCAGAAAAATGGAAAATTATAAAAGTGCCTTAGTTCTATATTCTGGATTTATTATAGTTCATTGCAAATCAGTTCAGATCTGTGAAAAATAGTAAAATATGGCAATTACTGATGGAAATTGGAGATGTTGAATGAAAAATGCTCTAATTTGCGTTGTGAAAAATCCTCATTCTGATGTAAACAAATGGTTTGGCTGACGTTTCCTCTCGAATTCGCTTGGCGCATTCTACATTGGTAGTGTATTAAAAAGGTCTATTCTCTTGAGCCTATCTGGAGATTTCGATTCCTTTGAAATTTTTTTAACTTTATTCAAAACAGCAGAAATCTTTCTAAATTTTATTTAGAAACCCTTGGGAGTATTTTAAAGAATTTCTTTCTAATTATCAGCAAATTTTTTGCAATCAATTTTGTTGGAGTTCTGTGATGTATCTTTCGCACTAGGGTTGAAATTAGTGCCAGAACACTCTTAGAACTCTGTTTCTTGTTGAATTCTGATCATAATTCTCTTGGAATACTTCTTAAAATTCATCTGTCACTTTCCTCACGATCTCCATACAAATCTCCTCACGTAAGAATGTTCCGCAAAGTTTTGTTTTTCACAACTCCTTTTGAAATCTTCTAAAATTACCTAACAATTTAATTTAGAACATGCATTCTTCTCCACAGAAATCCCTCCAAATACATCTTAACAGAATAATTCTGGTATTCTGCTCAGAACTTCTCATTCGAAAGCTGTGTGGGAATCCTTCTCATGTTTGAAATCAACACTTTGAATTATTTCAAATATTACTAAAAACTCCAGGGTTTGTCCACTAGATTCTATAGATTGTTCTGTAATTTGTTATAACCCTTAAAACGCCCCTTCAAATCTGTGATCTTGATTTTTTTTTTTAAATCTCACATTTTAATTATTTTTCTCCAAATCTTGCATCACGAAGGTGGCAGATTTTGAAAAAAGTTCTAGTTTCAGACTCTACACAAATTTAAAAGCCCCACAATCTTGGGAATCTTCTTAAATCACATTTATCCCTTCAGTAAATTCCTTTCAGCACGTTCTTAAAAATGCGTTCAATTTTGTTTTTTTTTTTTGTTCAATATTAACAACCGGGAATTTTTTAAGATTTAAACCGGAAAAACCGAGAAAAAACCGGGAATTTCAAAATGAAAATTCACTGGCCACCCTGCCATTATCACTGACCCCTATTGCTGTGCCGGTTGAATGAAGTTGGCTGATTCCTTCATCAGTCCGACGTGTGTTCCAGCCGGAGTTGGTTTCCAGTTTTCCGACGGATGATACTCAGGTGGTGAAAAATTCGGTGCAAATCCGTTTCCTTAACCGGCCCCCAGAAGGCTGGTTGACTAATGATTGACGTTCATTGTACGGAGTCGGCCTTCCACCGAAGATGCTAGGATCGTGTAGCAACGGAGCTCGTCCGTTGCAGGCATTCTTGGAGACGGCTGCATCCAATGTGTAGTCCCAACTGGAGTCCGTGTCGTTTTTGTAAACATTGAAAAACAAAACAAAAACAAGAGCTGTTAAAATACCGGGTTGCCAAACAAGGCATTATTCACAAGCCAACAAAGGTCATTTCTATGACTTCTTGGCACTGCCGGCACAGCTGCGGCACACCGAGAAAAATGTTGGCACAAAATAAGTGTGTAGAGTGACCACCCCTTGATGTAACTAGAACATTCAGCAAAATGGACCAAAAGCAATATCGCTGCTAATGACGATTTTCGATTTGAGAATACCTCCCATCTTGAATGAAGCCACCTTATCCGTCGTTATTTTGAATGAAGCCATCATCGTCATTGAATACTCAAACATCCGGAAAAATAAAGCTAACTATCAATTTCTCTCTCATTCAGCATCTGAAGCTTTTCTGCTCTTACAACTGAGTCGCCTCGTTGAATGGTCCGCATTCACAAAAAACGAAGTGTTTAACGAAGATTTAAAGACAAGATGCCTTCGTTTTTGTGAATGCAGACCATTCAACGAGGCGACTCAGTTGTAAGAGCTGAAAAACATAAAAATAAAGTCACCCAAATTTTAAGTTTTTTTTTAATATTTTCATTGCGGAAATCGAATGGCTATTAAATAGCTTCCATCATATTTTATTTCGAAGATACGGAATAATAGTTATTGTACCTTTACTCTAATAACACACTAAGATTATTTTACCGAAATCTGTGAAATTTTACTGAAATCTCAACAGCTGAACCACAGACAAACAGACGTAACTCTTTGAAAAACTTGTTCTTGAAAACATAGTATCTCAAAACATATAACCTCAGTAACGACATCTCTCTGGCTTCTCGCGGAAAACAAGCTTGCTCGCTAACTCGTAAACAATATTGCATAAAAGTTCTATAGAATATATAGAAACGTCAAAGTGATCCGATGCCAGCGCTGCGGCGAGTAGTTCACGGAACTGATAATATTCAAATCAACTGTTAATTGCATCAACGAAGATACACAATGAAGAGTTACGTCTGTTTGTCTGTGGTTGAACGTTCGGTAAACAGTTCGGTGATTTTTCACAGTTGTCTTGTAATTTTTCAACGAATATCTGTAAAAATCACAGAAAATCTGTGAAAAATCATCGATCTGTTTACCGAACGTTCAGTTGTTGAGATTTAGGTAAAATTTCACTGATTTCGATAAAATAATCTTAGTGTGAATGTAATTTAATTTATTAAACACACATTAACAAAAGGCCGAAAAAACTCGGGAAAGCGACAAAGTGGACAGGTGCACTTTGTCGCTTTCTCGAGTTTTTCGGCCTTTTGTGAATCTGGGTATTTTACGGAGATGTTCAGAAAAGCCCAGGGTATTTCAAAGAAATTTGGAGAATTTTAAGTAAGTTTGCTTCGTGGGTTAAATGAACAAACCAGAGGTACCTATAATGGTTGCCAAAAATGATTGCTCTTCGTTCAATCCCAGCATTGCATTGCAGCACAGGGGTCAATCTTTGCTACGCCCCTAGCGGGTTGCTTTCTTTCGGTTTCTGTAGCTTCGGAAACCCATTGCTGCTTACCGCCGTCATTATTTTCGTACTTTTTTTTTCATATTCTTTTCCTTTTTATTTTCCACAGAAAGAGAACCCCCGACATCGGATCGTCATCATCATCGCCGCCGCCGCCGTGGTCGTCACAGTCGTCCGTGCCTTTGGGACCACCACCGGAGGAGCTGCTGCTGGATGCACTCACACAGTCACGCGAACGTGTTTTTTCTGTGTGTGAAGAAGCGGTCATACCCGTTGCTTTTCGGGCTACACATCTCGACAGATTTGGTGGACCATCGTTCAACTTCCGAATCGAAGTGAAGGAATTCATGGGACAAAGTTGCCGCTTGGAAAGGTCACGGTACCGATAGAGAAGAAGTAGAAGTGGTGACGAGGAAAGATGTAATTGTTTTCGCCACGGTGTGAAGTGCGTTGAGAGGCGAGAGACCCCTGTCGAAGAATTTCGGAAGCAAGAAAAAGAAAAGGGGGAATCGATTGCCGAAACAAGTGAGAAAAGAGTGTGTGAAATAAAATGAAACTAGTGTATCGGGATCGATTTTCCTACTGCTGCTACGACAACGACGGCGACGATCAACTGCTGCTAGGCTGCCGTTGTGAGAATGCTGCTGTTGCCATCCAGGAACGTTGGTTGTCATCTGCTACCACTAAGGCAACTTCCTGTTCCTGCTGTTGCTGGCAGAGTCCACAGACACACTGCCCCGAGGAAATTCGAGACTGTCTGCAGTGCTGCCCATCAAGGTATACCCAGGAATGTGAGTTGTTGGTTCTTGTGGGATCCTCAAGTGCTTCGATTACCCACGGTGAGTGCTGCAACGTCAACAGTTCGCAGTGTGACCGTCAGCAGTAACAGCAACAACACAAACCAATCGGAATCATCGTACTGCCAACTTCAAAATCAAGAATCTAGCAACAACAGCAGCAGCAGCGTTCTCGATTCCACAAGCGTCCCGGCGGTGCTACAGGTGAACTACCACCACCCACCCAGAAGAAATCCTCTGGTCAATTAAATTACTAAAACCTCACCGTAAGAAGGCAAAAACTGACCACCCAAAAGCAGCGCAGTGTTGTTGTATCGGAAGGAAAAAAAGTGCATAAAAAATTGTGTATAGTTCTTTTTTTTTCGAGTACATGTTCATTAAAAGAAAAGCAAAATAGTTTATTACCCCCTGCTGCCGTGTGCATTGGAACGAGAGCAAGAGACTCGTCGGCGAAAAAGAAGAAAACGAAGACGGAGAAAGACTCCACCGTGAAAGCGAAGTACAGAAGAAGAAAACCCCAAGTGAAAAATTACAAGAAACAAAGTGTCAGAAGCAAAATATAAGCGCAAGAGACGACGTACGTGAGAGATAGCCCCGAACGAAGAAGAACCAGAAGCAGACGCAAAAGTAGCAGAAGAAGACGCCGAGAAGCAAACCTCTCTTCATTCATAAGCAATGAATAGGAATATAGTAAAATTCTATGCAATACTATTCATCATGCTGTCATCAGTTGTGTTAATCACAGGTGAGTTTCTCCTGCTTTAGTTAACATTTTTTTCGGGGTTTGTTGTTTTGTTTACGATCGTTTCCCAGACACAAGTGCGCTTGTGTGCGTATTGTGAGGCTTGGACTGCACGGTGTCTTTCTTATCAGTGATCTAGTTTATTTGTTTGTTTGTCTGTTTGTATATCTCCAAGGTGTGAACAACGCACTACATACCTATCTACAGTCTTGCATTTTATCGCGAGTGCATCTGTTCGCACGGCCACACGCGTTGCGTCTCTATTTTTGTTGACAGCTTGATCGACGGTTACCTACTGTGTGGCTAGCTAGGTTTTGTGTGTGGTCAGTTTGATGGTTATTTAAAAAAAATGTAGAGCGTGTCGTTTGTTGTTCATTTATGGTTCGTGTCCAAAACATTAATCTCGCATGACGAAACAGAAATATTCACTGCATGATTGGATCATTATTCCAACTCTAAAATTCCGCAGGATTTACCCGGTTTTGTTCAGGATTCCTAGGCCCATAATATTGAACAGTTTTCTTAGACCAAGCAGAATCATGGAATGTGTTCTAAACAGAAGTCGCAGAATCGGGACAAAAATGTCTTAATCCTGGATTTTCAATTTCTGTCTGATTTAACTAAATTATTTTTTTGGAATTTGTCTCAACTTATCTCAAGTAATCTTCAGAGTTACTTTAAGGATTCCCCTTGTATCTTATGATTTTGTCCGCTATTCTTTATACCAGTCTTGGAATTCGGTGCAGAATACTTTAGAAATTCCGTGCAGAAAACTCTGGAAATTTACTCTACATTTGTCCTCGTATTCTTAATGATTCTCGTGAGAATTTACCTGAATTTCTTTCCATAATTTTCTTTTGAAATGCCTTGGTACCTTTGGTATATCCTTTAGAATTTAGAACGTATTATACCTAATTCTCTATGGATTTCACCTCGGAACTCCATGTCTTCCCCGTAACGGAAAAGATGGGCGTGGCCGGTAATGGTAATTGTCATTCTGTTTTCATTTTTACCTTTGATTCGAAAGCCATTCACTCTCAAATAGTTTTTCTTAAGTAATCGAAAGAACGATAAGGTAAATACATGCCGGTTGCTAGTATTCAATCTACGAATTACTCTCCCCGGAATTCTACTCATAATCCGTATAATAGTCTTTTCAGAATTACTTGGAAGCATATTCCGTTTCAAGTGGCTAAGCTATAATTAGTTCGAAGAAGTGGAAGTCTTAGCATAAGACTGTTGCATCGTGATTGAGATTGAACATTAATGTTCACTTGTTGCAGAAGTCCTTCGCAGTCGATTCTTCCTTGCAGAGTATCGGTGACGTTTAAGGCTCTGAAAACATCTCTTCGGATACGTAAGGGCTCGACATTGATCAAATGGCAGCGATTCTCGGAGCGCGAAGCAAAGAAAACGTCGTTGCACTGATTCAATTCGCTCGGCCCCCAGTATTCCAACGTAGATCGTACGAGGGAGCGCTAGAGCGATTTCAAGTAGTAAATGTCGGTGAAGTTCTTAGTAATCTTTAAGGCAAAGCCAAGAGTTATGGACGCTTTGTCAACGACATACGATATATGGTGTGAGTATGTCAGCTTTGAGTACAGAAAAACGCCAAAGTCGCAATGCACCCGTTCGATAGTTGTGCCTAGTAGTTTGTAGTTGAAAATAATCGGTTGTTTCTTGTGTGAGAAAGTAATGATTGTACACTTAGCTGGGTTGACCACCAGTCGGTTTAGACTACACCAGTCAGCAAAGATGTCAATCTGATTTTGGAGAGAACGGCAGTCGGCGAGTGAGCGGATACGCAGAAAAACTTTCAGATCGTCTGCAAACGATAATCGGTGATGGTGAACGTCGTCGAAGTAAAGGAGAAATACCAATGGTCCCAAATGGCTACCCTGAGGTATACTAGACTTTGCGCAGAAGCTTGGTCAGCGGCAAGTACCCAAAGTAACTGTCAGTTGGCGTTCCGTGAGGTATGAACGAAATCATATTAAAAGATTTCCACCGATCCCTAGCCTATCAAGCTTAGTGATCGCAATTTCGTGGTTCAGTTTATCGAAGGCTTTCTACGGTGCATCTCGGAGGCATTATTGATTCGTCAGATGAGGTGATTAAGGGGTGACTGTTATACTGGGTGTACCTAAAGGGGCTGGCATATCGAGGGCCTTACTTAGCTAAGTCGGTAAAGGCGCAGGTACAAAGCAAGACCATGCTGGAGGTGGTTGGGTTCAATTCCATAGAAGTATGATTGGACTTGCTTGCCACACAATTATACCAATGCAAAAATGGTACAGGCATCGAAAGCTCTCAATTAATAACTGTGGAAGTGAACACTAAGTCGAGAGCACGCAATAAGCTAATATGCGATATGCAATAAGCTTGAAATGCGAAGAAGAAGAAGACGAAGATATCGAGAGGTGCTGGTGTCCCAAACGGTGTGCCCATTGGAGAGCCACCGGGAATAGTCTCTGGAACAGCAGGGAGTGCTGGGATATCAGGAGGCAGTCATACATTGTTTTTCGCATGAGTATCCTCGAAATCACTGTACACAATCCCCTGTGGCTAAGTTTCAGGGTCGATTGTGGGTCGGTGCCTTTTTTCACTAATGAGACAACTTTAACTGGTTCAGTCGTTCGCAGTCCATCACGAACAAATTTCTCTACCACATCCTTCTTAACACAGTGGTGAAACCGGGAAAGGTAAACCCAAAACAGGTTTGATGGTGCATTGACAGCGAGCGTATCGCTAGTTCCAATGACTCTTGTTCCAGTAGTTGGTTTAGTCGGTGTTTCCGTATCACCTTGACGGTGTTTTGAGGGGCGATCATGAGTCGGTCTAGCAGATGTACCTGGGGTAGCAGCATTAACTATGTGAGTGAGTTGACCGACCTGATTGTTGTTTTTGGCCATTTCGTTTTCAGCTCGGCTTGACTGCCTATCACCGTCAAAAATACGTTGCAGAGGGATGAAACAGTATTTCTGAACCGGGCGTACTTCATCAACTTGCTACATTCGTCAATTGATTTTCTCACGAAGAATCCTGACGAACGGCAGGTTCAAGTTAATTAATACAATCTTTTGTCCGTTCGGTCATCAGCTTTCACTCTGCCAGGGGTCGTAAGTCGTAGGCGATAAACGCTTCTGCCAAATAACATCCACCGTCAACTCCAGCCTGACAGTCGTGCTCTGTCAAATCGCTTCTACCATATTGTATAGTCCAGCAGTCGGAGCTGATCGATGCTCGGAAGTTGCACAAAAAAAGATTTTCATATGTCAGTAGGAGCGTAAGGAGAGCAAATTTCCAGGGGTGTACACATTTTTGAGAAACAATTCTTGAGACAGGCAGAATGATTTTTTTCCGTAACATGCAGATTTACTTTCACAGCTCAGAGACTAATGGCAGGGCTGGTAGCGAGTCACTTTTTAGTGACTTGGTCACTTTTTTCAAGTCAGTCACTAAAAAGTATCTTTTTTTAAGGCCAATTCACTAAAGTCACTTTTTCTTGTAAAAAGTCACTATTTTCAACTTTTTTAGCGTGAATTTATTTCAAGATTGATTATTCTTTGCGTTGTGACGTTTAATCATCTTTCTCTATATACAGGATGTCTACTCATTTTTCTGGATAAAATAACCTGAGTTTTCCAAGTAAGTAAGCCCAAGATCTAAACATATTCAATGTCTTTAAGTTTCGTGTTCCATGTACAAGTTCGAGATATTGAAAAGATTCAAAGTGCCAGAATTAAATAAAAAAAAAACAAATGATTTATTTCAAGTTTATAAATCACTTTATGAAAGATTAGAAATCTTCAATGCAGTCCCATTAACTTTACAACAATTGTAAGAATTTTGGAGAAGTTCTGAGGAATGAAAGTAAATGCTGAGAAGTTCAGTGAAGCTCTATAAACAAACTGCAGGAACATAAGAGAAGTTAACACGGTTAAAATATGGGAAACTTACTGGAAGCTGTAAGAACCTCAAAGCGGTTCTTTTAGCATCCGTTACTTTTCAGGAACTTTTATGAAGTTTCTAGAATTTCAGAGAACTTCACAGGTGTCAAGCCAACTTGAGAAATTTAGAAAACTTGAGGGGTATTATGCAATTTTTTAAGAAGTTCTAAGCACCTCTAAAAAGCTAGATCTAGAGATCTTTGGGCAATTTCAGATCTTAAGAGCAATTCCCGTAACTATAGTCCAGACTTTTGGAGCAGTTTAAAATCTATAATCTTAAATTTAGATTAATTCTGTATGTGTAGACTAGACTAGACTAGACTATAATCTTAAATTTAGATTAATTCAAAATAGTTCCATGATGTGCAAGGACATATTAGAAACCTTAAAGTAGTTTCGAGATACTCAGTGACTTTCCAAAAACTTCAGCAAAAAGAGAACTCCTGGAAATTTTTAAACTTCAAGAAAACGTGAGATAAAATACTCTCATAGGGTGTCATATCATTGAGATTTATAGAACTTTTAAAAAATGCGAAAATTTAGCTAAATTGATTAGAGAACATCAACGAAGTTCCAAGCGAGAACTTTTAGCAAGCAGCGATATCTTCAAGAAATTCCAGAGAACTAAATTTAGATATTTTTAGATAGTTTAATGATATTCAGCGACAGAGTACTTCGAGGACGATCAGATAGCTTCAGAATAATCCCATTAACTTAATCAAAATTGCAGCGACTTACAAGGAGTTCCGTGGAATTCTAGGTTATTCCAAGAATTCTATGATTGATCTTAAAACGTCAGAAGCGCCAGAGAATTATGAATATATATCAAAAAAATTGCAGGATTATTAAATGTTCCATCCAAGTAATCACGATGTTCCATTCAAGTAATCGCAGCAATCTACAGCTGCGACCGAGATGGAAAAAAATGAGCGATTCGAAGTGTAGATGTCAACCTGAATAAACGTATAGTTAGAAGCACTCAAACTTTCTTTATTCTTTGAGAAGAACACTTCAGTGGATTTTTCTGGAAGCTCACAAGTTCAAGAAATTCCA